AATATTAAGGACAATGATTAATACTAAAATTTTAATATTTTCAAATGAAATTCACTCGATTTTATTGACCGCGTCACTAACTCCGGAATCATGATCGAGATGATGGATTATAGAATGATCTTCACGCCGTGTTTCCTGCAAAACAAACAGATTGGGTAAGTGGGAATTTGAGTGACATATTTTTCAGAAACTATTGATATAGTAATATTTTCATTTCTATTTGTTTTCTTTGTGATAACTCTTTGAAAGTTAGTTGAGTTGATTTCTTGATCATTCTACCGGAATGTAAATTTCGCCGAGCGAAAGGTCAGGAGCTAAGAAGGCCTAACATGTATGTAATTCCCGTGCGGCTGTCTTTGTGTCTGACGCTAAGGAGGCCTAATATCCATGTAAATCTCGTGTCTTTGTGTTTGACCTCAGTGGGCGGGGACAATTGAAATTAACATGCGAGGCCTCGTGTAATTTAAATCTATTAGTCTACATTTTTAAAATCTAAATTTATAATTTTATTTCACAATGAAATGGAAATATAAGGAATCACTGTCTAGTTAGTAGAGTATGCTAGGGACATCAACGATAGTTGGAAACGTGGGATGATTTATGCATAATGGGCGAAGCCCGTTATGCATAAATTATCCCACGTTTCCAACTATCGTTGATGCCCTGGCATACTCTACTAACTAGACAGTGATTCCTTAATCATCTTCCAGATAAGATCATACATGTAGTTCTGTGTATCTGAACCAAAAATTGAAAGATAAATCCTTGCATTGAATTCTTTCGATTGAAATTCTATCCCTTTCTTAGTTATAGATTTGATTTACCTTCACAGATTATAGTCATTCTGGAAAACAAGACTAGTGTCAGTAGCATAAACACGTATTTTTTCAAACAACAATGCCATGCTTAGTCACATTTATATGGAAGCATAATCAGGTATTGAAGATTCAGGTTTTATTCAAATCATGACTCCCAAGGGGAGGGATAGGGCAACGATCGGAGCACAATGTATTATGCAGAAATATCAAGGGAAAATCTTTAAATATCATCCTTTCGAGAACAGCAAAGGCGTAATTAGTCACAATTATTTGAAAGCATCCTCAGGTAATGTGGATTCAAATTTGTTCAAAAATGACCAGCTGGGGTAAGGTTGGGCCCAAATATTTGATTGTTTCACATTGTAATATATAGGGAGAAAATTTACTGATGAAGAATGCCCTGTGGCTCAGGTAAGCGTTGAAGTACATGGGCCTGTTGTTTTAGGTTTCCAAAAGAAAAACATGGACACTGCCATTCCTTCCATAATATTGAGTACCCCTCTCATATCCCTAACTCCTCCATACCACTGAATAAAATTCAATACGATTATAGTATAATCTTTATAACATTGTGCCACTGTGCCCCTCCTATTTTATGCCCTAATCGGAGAAATATTTTGGGTTCCCCATAGCGAAAATAGACTTTGTCATCATACTCATATGGGAATTGGGTGTAATTTTGTGAGCTCAATGCTTACAGTACCTGTAGTTTTATTTAGATAAAATTGGACATGTATTTGAAAGTCTTTTTTCTTCTTTAATCATACAGATATCACTGTTCAGCAAGGAAAAAGTGGGGGGGGGGGGTTATGCAGATTGAAAACCAGGAGTACCTTAATTGATAAGCAAGGTCTTTATCAAGTGTCAAATTAAAAAAAATGAACCTTTGATATCCGTAATTTTACAGTATAATGCTGTGTCAAATCTGATAGATAATAACGATGACCTATCATTAGGGCGCACACTTCAATAGTGTGTTTTATATTGCTTCTTGAGATATTGCTCAAATTTGAACCTTAAAAACGTAATGCTGAACGTAAAACAATAATCATTCACGTACATGTCAAATATTAATTTAAATGTTAATGTCATCGGTTAGCACACTAATCTTTATCAAATGTAAAAGTATACAGTTAAAGTATATCATTGAGGGAGTTAGCAAGATTCCAGTTCCCCAAGGCCAGGACTATTTCCCGAGGGAAATAGTCCTGGTCGAGGGGAACTGGAATCTTGCTAACTCCCGCAATGATATACTTTTAACTGTTTTATTATACCGATACAAACCTAAAATCTAGAGGATTCAGATAGCGTGATTTCATAGCAGGGATTAGCTCACTGAACTAACACACGGGGATTAGTCCATTCACATATCATACCAATGTAAAAGTAAAATCTAGAGGATTACGAATAGTTTTTGATGTAGGGATTAGCTCACTTGACTAAAGCACGGGGATTAGTCAATTCATATCGATTTCTAGGGAAATAAGTCACATCTAACGATCTGAAGTTATATAGGGAAATATAAGTAGAGGAATAATAAATAAAGATAAGGAACAGTGATCTATCTTAAAAAAAAAACTCCACAAACAATACAAATATGCGAAGAGGGCATAAAACACGGACCCCAGGAAATTCCAGAGGTGGGATCAGGTGCCTAGGTGGAGTAAGCATCCCCTAGTGACTGATCACACCCGCCGTGAGACCTATGTATTGATCAGGTAGTCGGTAGTCAATTCAGTACCTAAACAAAGGCCTAACAATTTGTATGAAACAAGTCAGCCAAAATACGACCCAAGGATAGGTTATATTTGCTAACAAGGACATTATAACGACCATAAAGTTTACGAAATACTGACGCGGCTGTTGAAACCCCTGTAACATCAACTTATCAGTGAGTAGCCTGCCTCGCTTTAAAAATTGATTGTACCCAGCGCAAGCTTTTGAGTAGCAAATAAGTTGGGAGATATAAACAACATAAGCAGGTGATAGCGGAATAGTACTACATAAATAAGGAAAGTTGAAGATGAAAAAGCAAAAATTATCTCGTTTGTCATACAATTTAGTTGTTAATTGGCCTTTATTGTCTATAGTCAGTAAAATATCTAAGTATGAAACAGATGTGGCAGACTCTGTGGTGTCTTTTATTTCAAGTTCACTGGGATATATCGAGTCGAGACACGAATAAAATAACTATTGTTAATTGTTTTCCTCTTCTCATGTATAAGTTTTTGAATCAATTCTGCTTCATAGGAATATAAAAACAGGTCAGCTAATAAAGGAACACAATTAGTACCCATCACAAATCCAACATTTTGTTGGAAAACTTGGTCTCCGAAGACTACATAAATGTTGTCAATGAGGAACTCCAGCATCCTTTTAATATCAACTTCAGAGTACTTGTGTGTACAATCGGAGTGTTTTTTAACGTAATAATTTTCAGTCTTCGACAAATCCCGGGAGTCCGAAGCCCGGGACCTGGTAAAATTGGAAGCGGGCATATGGAAATTGCATACTTACAAGCCCGAAGGGCATGTAAATTCTGAGGCCTAAGCCTCCGTATTATCAACTTAAATAATACCAATAACATTAAATGTACTTAAAGTCTGATTTTTCATCTAAAGTGGAGCACCAAATAAAATATTAACGATAGTTTATTCTACCGCGATTTCCAAAGAACTCTTTTGCAAAGGAGACACAAAAAGTGTCCAGGTTGAAAATAATATTAATGGCGAGACAATAGATCTATAGAAATGGATTTCGGATCATTTCCTTGGCATGAAAAGGCAAATAAGAATAAAATTACTTGATAAAATTCTGGGCATGTAAATATTTGTTCGGGCTAGCGTAATAAGTGGTTAAACCTGCCCGAAGGGCATGTACTGAAAAAAAGATTTGGCGAAGACTGAATTTTGCTGATGACCAATCACATGATGTGAAAATTTCCGAGTTCCCTTTATTTTAAGAAGCAGTTGTCTATGATATCAAAAAGGCTAACTCATATTTTACATGCATTTGATTACATGTCTATACTTTTGTCTCATATTCATCGATTACTAGTATATTGAAGAAGTTGTTTCCGGAAGCAAATTATTCCAATCAATGGGGGGAGGGGATATCACTTTGGACATTAAAACTTTTGAAGTCATGTCTTCAATTTAAGGTCACTCTGTTAATCTTTTCATAAGTTTCTAATATGAACATATTCATCAGCTAGTTCCTTTACTTTGAGCTATTAGATTGCTCTGAGAGATATACAATGATCTACGTAAAAAGGGTCTTTTACATGTAAATAACTTTTCACTGTCATTTGTGAATGAAAAATACGTCACAATTTGCTATGTACTTTCAAGGACGTAATGCACTTGGATATTGTAAAAATAAACTTACTCTTATCCAGATTACTGTAACAGTTTTAACAGCCAATATATTGATTGATCGATTGTATGTTGTTTAACGGTCCCATTCGAGAATTTTTTCTCTCATATAGAGACGTCACCGTATGCCGGTGAAGGGCTTTAATTTGAACCATACTCGGTACTCTGGGCCATTGAGAAGTATGGGTTCTTTGTTGTCCCAACTCTTACCGTGACAGGGGGTCTCGGTTTTAAGGTTTTTAGATACGTGTCTTTCACTTGTAATGCCAGGTGTTTGGCGAAGGAACAGTCGTTACATGTACCTACGTTTATGTCTTAGATTTGACAGCGGCACGACGAACGAGAATAGAACCCGGGCAACCTAATCACAAAGCTAACGCCCTACCACCAGAATGCTTTTACCGGTGCATACGTATTAATGTTATTACACTGGGAATTGGAACATCAGTTTGTTTGACAATCAATATTTAATGTTTATGCTCAGCTCATTTTGAAAGCCTACAAACATGTATGTGTCTTGCAAAAAAGTGGGGGTTTTTTCCAAAGCACCCCAGATCAACTTTATAAAGCAGTATGTATAACACCTTGCATTTCGAAATAAAAAGTAACTTCATAAAACCAAATTTATATGTCTAGCACATCCCCCATAGCTGCACTGGAAGAGCATAGCAGTTATCTTTCTGTGTACACTTCAATATTAACCTTTGAATTTATCCGGTCAAATGTCGTAATGCCCTATATTTCCCTTATCATATATATTTAATACCTTAAAAAAGAGAGCCCAAGTCACTTTAGAAAATATTCCCCTTACAATGAAGCGCATCTTCTTCGGGCTTCTGTGCGCTTATGGTACATGTGTTTATTTTTTCTGTTATAATAATAATGATAGTAATAACGGAAAAAAAACCTTTTTTTATGTGTGATTAACAAACAAGTATGTTTTAGTTGTGTGTGCTTTGCCGCCATTGACTCCAGAACAAGAGGAGCTGATGAAACAGCATGGGTAAGTATCTAGAGGAACAAGAGCACATAAGAAGCATTGATTTGTCTTTATCATAGCTACTTTTATCGCAATTTATACTTTATAGATTGAAAGTACTATCCTTATCAAGCAATAACACATCATATTATCATGGCAAACGCGTGGCGCTGAAGCACAAGTACGTGGGAGCTAATGGGAACATACAGAATACGCGGTATAGCGGGGACTGGTTAGCAGTGGAGGCCACCACAGCCGTCAGCGAGTGGGGACACTACCTGGTATGATGTTTTAAATGCAATCCATATAATAACTTCTAAATCCTTTCACAAATTCAAGTAACACTTCTTTGGGAAACTGAGAATGACCTTTTACTAAAAGTTGTAGTAGAGAAAGGAAATGCAGTAGATTCATCCTGAAAAGCTTCGGGAATAGTTTAAAATTATACAGAATACTAGACGGTATATAAACAGTGTATGTTTTGGAGTGTAGCAGTTGAAAACCTGAAATAAGAAAAATATTATCAACTGACGCGTCAGAGGAGGTTAACAATGGTTTTCCAAAGGGATTCAATTTCCTCTGGAACCCTCGAAAACATGCAGATTTTATTTCATTATTTTGAATGTCTACATGTAATTAACGAATAAAAAAATCGGAAATTGTCTTGAATCAGATCTCGTTTTGAAAGGCTTATAAAGGGGATGGGACACAGATTTCAAGCATATTTTCTAAACTTTTCTAAATCAAATGCAAGACTTATATGTTGCTAGATCATTTCATACCAAATATATTAAAAGCGTGTTAAGAAATTTTTTTTATCAGGAAATTTTTAAAAATAAGATTTTCGGGACGCGTTTGATTGACACACGCGGGTATGTTAAGGCTACACCCAGAGATATCCTACTTGCCTTCACAATATGACGTCATAGTAAGCTGTATGACGTGAACTATAGAAATAATGATTTCTTAATATCTATCTTTAAAGTTTAATTTCAGGTCCAAGAAAAGAATGAAATCATTCAAAACATAACATAAACTAAATCTTGTTGTTTTGGGTGGCATAAATAGCTAATTATTTAGCACGGGGGTTAAGTACCAAACCCATGACGTCATAACTATTGATCAAATATTTGCCGAGTGAAATGAGAATTCATGTAAACAAATATATGAAATGGGAGTTTTAAGGCATATACCATGAATGTTATGTGTGATTCATAAGGAATTAAAGATTAAGAATCAGGTACGCCGATATATTCTTATCATTTTTTCTTATAATGAACATAGTCAGTGCTTTGAAATCCCGATCAGTCGTTCCTCTGTCGTTCTATAACAACAAAGATGCAAAAGTTCAACACTACGCCGCAAACTTTGAAATATATTTTTTGTTTGTATCGAAAGCTTGTATTCTATAATACTTGGAAAGTGCTGCTAGAATCGTGTGGTTAACATGAATTGATAAAAATTCCTTGATCGTATGTATAAAATGTAAAAATTTTGGTAAGGTTTCATGCGAAACTTTGGAATATTTTTTTCTGTGTCAGGAGAGTAGGATTCTAGCAGCACTTTTCATGGCCCAGTGATGTTTTTACATAATTATTTTCACTAAAAGAAATGAATTATCTCCGGGGTAGTGTTGAACTTTTCACTTTTTCATTAAGGCAATTTTTCTATTTATAGACGTCACGTGATGACGTCGTAGTGGAGTGCTTCTTTTAGCCTAAGACTCAATGACGTCCATACAATGGATAATAATAGTAAATGTTTTATCTATGGTTTTTCCGATTTATCAATGTTACATTTTACGAAAAAAAGTCTAAATTCGCCGAAATATGATCTGGATACTGCCTTAACATACCTGCGCATATTTTTGTACTTTCACAAGGTTAAGAAAAGTAGAAATTGTGTTGTGAATTTATGAAAAAAAATGAAAACTATAATCAGAAAGTTCAGAGTAGAAAGGCGAGAAAGCAAAACCCGCTCCCCAGTATTGTCACTCTGTGCTCAGTGGCGTGGGCACGCTAAACAAATTGAACACACCTTGTAAAACGTAAACACTAATAATAACAAAGTTCGTGCCCTGTTTACAAATACAGGTGTTTGACATGATGTTATGAGGAATGTCGTTCTTGTTGAATTCTTATAATATTCATGTAAGTTCAAATCATTAAACTGAAGTTATTTTTTAATAAAAATAGACATTTAAAATTGTTAACAATGCGACTGTGCCCAGGCCCCTTTAAACTTTCCACTTACGCTTTTCTCAATAAGAAAGATTCGACAATTATGAAAATTATTCAAATGTTTGAATCCTTATTCCGCTCAATAATTTGGTTATTTCCGCGCTCGAAAACGTTTTTTTTTTTTTGGAAACAATTAATGTATTATTATCGCATTTGTTTATTCAGCTTATATCAGACACACACCGTCGTGTTGGAATTCTACGATGAAACGTAATTATGCACATATCGTTATGTTGTCCGTTGTCAAGTGTGTTGCTAATGCTGAGGGGAGGGTAACATTAAAAAGTGGTTAATACTTCTTAACCAATCAGATTTCAGTATATTGCACTGAATACAAATTCAAGTAGATCTGTATTTGGAAAACTTACATGCTTATTTGGCTGCCTTCTATTTTTCAGGGTTTTAATGCAAAGCCACTTATTAATATGTAATCATACACATTTTTAAGAATGCGTGCATGCTTTCGTCTTAAAAATAATTTCTCATGATTTTGCCATCATGTTTATCTGTGAAAACCCACTGAACTTTTGCCAAAGCTATGTATACGCACATCTCTGTAGAATTTTTTGTCATAGAGTGCTTGCTAGTAATTGCATAAAAATGCAATTAATAGCTATATCTTAAATGTTTCGACTTCATTGTTGTTTTTAAACACGCTTTCATTTTAAGGCAGCAGTGATCGCGGCAAGGATGACCAAACACATGCCATCCTCCATTTTCAGTGCTGTAGCTCGGAATGCCAAGATCGCAGTCTTTGCCCATGGTCAGGATATAACTATTTTCCCAGAGTATGCTGCCGAGAGGGACACGCCCCAGTGTCACAGTAAGCTCTCTAAGGTCACACTAAGCTGCCTAAGGTCACAGTAAGCTGTCTAAGGGCATAGTAAGCTAAGGTCTCTGTTAGCTGTCTAAGGTCACAGTAAGCTCTCTAGGATAGTAAGATGTTGATCACTAGCAGTGTTAGAAGTCAGCAGAAGAATCAGAGAATAAATGTTTCTCATGTACAAGGATAGGCCTTCTCTTATCTTAGTTATAATCTTCAACTGGTTTCTTCTGCTAAAAATTTTATCTTTGTACTTCTGCTCATAAATTGCAGTCAAATAATTTTGAATATTTTGCTGTTACAGTAGTACTACAGGGATAATTTTTTTGCTTTTTAGACACTTGTGCTGGTTCCTGTTCAGTAACGTGTACGTTTGATCATCGTAAATACAACACATTGGCTGGAGTAGGGGGAGACACGTGTTGTATATTGGAGGATAATATCCTATGTAATTCACGTGATCCATATTTTCACACCAACAATATTCTCGTTCATGAATTTGCTCACACAATCCACAAACACCTGCCATCTTCTATAAGGAGTCAGGTAATATGTTAATACTTCAGGAGAAAATTACGTGTGCAATATACATGTGTTTTATGCTCTTTATGATCAGGTCCCTTTCTAAAGAGGAAATTCTTCAAAAATCATATGTCAGTTTTTTTTAATATTCCCAACAATCAAAGTGAATTTGAATATCATACATATGCATTCCTAAACTTTATAAAATTCCATACAAAGATACAGAGTTGGTTCCAGTAAATGTTCTACCAAGCATCTTTCTCTACTTCTCACTAAAATATTAACAGCAGTGAAGGAGAAACTTCTGGAATACTGTACAACAATATATTTGAGAAGTGGTGTAATTCAGATGTGGAAGCCTAAAAACTTCATGGAACTTCTAGAAAATTTGAAATCACAAAATTTTTACCATAATCAATAACAAAACTTACGACTTTTCAACGTTTTATACAACCATTCCCCGAGGTAAATTAAAGTCGAGGCTTTTTGACTTCATAGACAGCTACTTCTTTCAACGCAAATGGAACTCGTAAATTTACTTACCTTGTCATTGATCATTTGCAAAATTAGTTAAAAAAAAACATTCTGATTGTACACACAAGTATTCTAAAGTAGATATTAAAAAGATGGTTGAGTTTTGATTGACAGTACATGTATCTATGTAGTTTTTGGAGATCAGGTCTTCCAACAATCTGTCGAAATTCACATTGGTATCAATTGCCCCCGAGAATAGTAGATGTATTTTTATTTTCATATGAAGAAGAATTTATTCAAAAACTTATACATGAGAGGAAGAAAAAACACTTGCTGTGGCTTCAACTCGACATTTAGATCGACGACGTATTATTAATTAACATTAGTTACTTCCTTCAATATGTCGACTCCAAATATCCCAGTGAACGTGACATGAAAGATTCCACAATGTCTGACAGATCTGTTTCATATTTGGATGTTTTACTATAAAAAGACGTTAATGGTAACCTAACAACAAAACTTTATGACTTCAACATCTCTTTAACTTCAACTTCCCTTACCTATGTAGCTATATACCATTATCACCTGCACATGGGGTTTATATCTCCCAGTTGATTCGTTATGGTCAGAACATGCTCCATGTACGAATAATTTCTAAAACGAGGAAAGCTACTGACAAACAAGTTGATGAAACAAGGATATCAACAGTCTTGTTTAAAGTCAGCATTTCACAAGTTCTATGGACGATACAACGACCATGTCAGCAAATACAATCTATCATTAAGTCGAATGCTGACTGACGATTTTTTTTTCATACTAATTGTTAGACCATTATTTAAACACTCAATCTACAAATTTTCCGTTTGCCCGATCATGAGAGTGATCACCCGGCGGATGTGACCGGTCGACAGGGGATGTTTACTCCTCCATAGAACCTGATTCCTTCTCTGATGTTTTAGAGGTCTGTATTTGTTTTGCTCCCAATTTATTGTTTCAATGGACATTTGAGCCTTATTACTGCTCGTTATCTCCCTTTTTCATCAAAGAAATTACTTTTGATGGTGTACCCAAAGCTGTTGTTGTGGAAGCTGAAAAAGAAATCGGAAGTATCGTTGGAAAAATAGGATTTTTAACTTTATTGAGATCAACCAAATAAAATCAAAATACATTAATTTAAGTGAATCTGAACTAAATTATTGCAAACAACTAGGTAACTCTACTAAAGAATCTTTAAAATGAAGTTTTGGTTTCTTCCTCAGATAACGGAGGCCTATAATAACGCCCGTTACCACAACCTTTGGACTGCTAGTTCCTATGCTATGGCTGATGAACGTGAGTACTGGGCCGAGGGGACAGGCTCATTCTTCATGGTTAACAAACATCCAACATCCACTGGAGGAATGAACACGTGAGTTTTTTTAGAATAACGAGTACGCTATTTAGTGAGTCAAGTGTTATGGACGTCCTGATTGCAAGTCACCCCTCATATCTCATATTATAGCAGAAAATCACTCCCGTAATATAAGCTCTGGGGAAAAAATGTGCTGAAAAAATTCTCCCACTTAACAAATGGTTTAAAAAGTTATATTCGCTTACTAAGTACAAAGTCACCTCCACTATGATAGTGTTTTTCAGAGCTGTTCAAAGGATTAAATAAATATTGCATGTAATGAAGGTAGTTGACAATGGTTTTCGCGTTGTGAAAATTTTCAATGTTACCATCAAATACTTGCAATATTTATTACGTTTTATTACTGATTTTTATATATTTCATATAAATACATATATCAGTGAACCGTGTGCTCATAAATTCTGAGCAGTCAATATTTTTTTGAATATTACCTATCGTCAAACAATATCGACTGTTGGTACGTTCTATCAGGCTGAAGGGCGAGCATTATTCAGATGGTAATAGTGTTTTTAACAAATGCTCTTTAACAACTCAGATTCAACTTATTTACCTGAACGAATAATATTTTAAAATATCTCCCATTATTGCTGTATGCATGGGCGGATACAGGATTTGTGATTGGGGGGGGGGGGGCGTGGATAACTTCGTTCAGGCAGGGGGTCTGGGGGCCGCCTTAAGGCCCCCAGTGGGTCCAGGGCGAAGCCCTGGTGGGGGCCCAGTGGGCGAAGCCCCCGGAAGCTCATGGGTTTTCGTGAATTTTAAGAGTAAAACCAGGCACAAAAATAGTGGTATTGATTAGTTATGTACCCTATGTTATTTCATTTTTTAAAAGAAAACACACACACACACAAACAAACAAACCAAAAAACAACGAACAAACAAGATCAGTTTTTAAAAATAGCATTTTACCTAGATATACAAGAAGTCACAAATTTCAGAATGTTTTCCAAAGTACCGTTGTGTAATTTCGACCGATTATTTTTTTTATATTTAGATTTGTTCAAGTATGTCACTGCCTATTACATGTATTACGCTCAACTATTACTGGATCCCTTTTCCTTCGAAATACCTTTTATTGTTCAGATTACATTGTATTATATGTATTATTCGTCAGGATATAAAATAAATGTGTTCGATTTACAAGATATGTGTGATGGGTAACTTCGACCGCACACGGGGTATTTTCGATCGCTGTGCAAATATAAACGAAATTATTCGCGTCATTTCTAATTTAAATATATATATATATATATATATATATATATATATATATATATATATATATATATATATATATATATATATATATATATATTAATTTAAATTACTCTGTTGTAAAACATAAAAGATTGTGAAAAAGTACCGACCAAAAAAAAGTAATTTTCAAAATGTACCTAATTTGAAGACATTAAGTGCACTAGGTGCCTAGAACAGATTTACCGATTTGTCAAGGCATGCTACAAATGTATATATATTTGCAGGCATCTAAACCGCATGTAAACAGAACAGATGATTTTTTCACTGTTATAGAACTACTTTCTACGGAGTATTCTTGTACATACTGATCCTATTATTTTTTTTTTATACGGACAGTAGTCATGATTTTTTTTTTGGTAACATATAGCATTGCGTCATTTTCATTGGTCGAACTGAGTTACCGCTGACGCCATGCATGGGTAACTTCGGCCGATATCTGTTCAGCTGATTTGCATTTTATTTGTAAAAACTAAATACCATAAAATTAAAAAGGTATGAATTTAAGTTGCAAAATTAAACATAGTTGATAAATTTCACGCCAGGAATATCCACTGTGTCTTTCTATATACCCGGTATACAAGATATTTTCAGAGGTGATAAACTGATAATTCCCCGCAATGGTTAAAAAATACTCGTTCGTAATTTTTCGGGCGATAAAGTTTCTTCTTGGATGTAATTTTCCAGTCAAGAAATAAATTTCGCCTTTTATGATCAACATTGATTTGTATATGAAAAATGCATTTTCTTTCTGCATAAAATAGATGTGTTTACACTATAATGGGCTATAAATAAATTATTTTAAGGTATTTATGAACGGTCGAAATTAACCAGGTGGTCGAAGTTACACCATCCTAACCTAGATCCTGACGTTACATTCCATTTAGGCCTATATGGAAAGATTATGAGATATGTGTAATGAAAAAAGTCTAGTATCTATGTAAGTAAATTACTGCATAGTTACACCATTTGATAAATAAATACATCAATCAGTGGACGAATTTTTAACGTAGACCGTCTGATTTAAATTCATTTATTTACCTTCGACCAGCCTTTAAATATTGCAGTATTTTCCTTGCATCATGACAGGAAATTGACAAGTGCAGTCTACCTTTCAAATGAAATCGGGAGACGTTTTCCGGTTTGAATAATTATGAGATAGTATTCATAGCCTAGGGAATGCAAGGTTTTCAGACTTGATTTTTAAGAAAACCGGTACTTGGTCATTAAATAAAATTACCATTTTTTAATTGACCATTAATTGTAAAACCAAAGTATGGCATTATTGATATTAGTCATGTTATACTTTGAAAATTTTAGAGGGGGCGTGCGCCCCCCACGCCCCCCCCCTTAAATCCGCCAGTGGTATGTTCCATCACTCATTTCCTCATACCGGTAGTATGTATAAAGAAACCCTAGGTAGAATTTGATCGGATGCCGTGATTCGCGCAGCATTTATTAATTGCTGTTATCCGCAAAATAATAATGCATACGCCTTGAATAAATTAGTATCATAAAGGGAGAAAAAGGTTCTATAATATGTGCTATTTAGTAACCGGTTTTTCTCAAACTTTTGTTTTAATTCGAATTTTTTTTTTTTGTGTAGCCTTTATATGTATTATAAAGATCAAAAATGTATCATGTGATCACATATGCGTTGTGGTCCATGTACTTATTGCTAAGCGATCTGGATGTTTTATTGAACAATCTACTAAATAATAAAAATATTTGACAAGTATTATTGCTCATTATTGTTAGTTGTCAAAAGTGACATATTAAACACCTCATGTAGAAAATGTAACACTATTTTTTATCATAGTGTGCACGTGGTTTTATCTAATAAAAATAATTTAAATGTCACAATCAATCAATGATTAGGATTGAATTGCATGTGCTCTTAAGATTATAATTTCGGCAAGGATCCCGAAATTACCCTGGGACAAAGGACATATATATATATATATGGGGATTATAATTTTCTAATTTTTGTCGTATATATGAAGCAAAATATTCGTATAAAGATTAGAAAATGCACGTGTAAATGTATTTGTCATATACATAATCATTATTATTCAACAGATGTGGACACACCCATTGTCAGACGGAACAAGAAGCCCGTTATTACATTTACCAGAAGGACTCTAAGCTGTACTACGCATTATCCTACGTCTATCTTAACTACCAATACACAGTACCGTCAAATCTGGCAGCCTGTGTCACCGGTTAATATTAAAACGTCTGCTAAGATTTTTTAAATTTTGACTCAATTTTAAGGATGTTTGTAGACGACATATTTTGTTAGAATTTGATGACAATTAATTAGGCTATATTAAAATATAAATTATATTTTATGAAGTCCTATGCTGATTTTATTGGTTGATAATGATAGAAAGTCTTTTTTCTCCAGCTTACTTTTCAATGTAGTCTTTTTTTCTGAATGAAAATCTTATTCACGGCGGGATCTAGTAGACTGCCATATTTTTTTCTTTATTCAAAGGAAATGAATTCTTTTAACAAATTCTCAAAGTTAGAATACCTCATGCTCAGAATCAGACATTAGAGCAGCATGTCAGCGTTGGAGCACTGAGTGATGCGTGTATCTATGATACAGGTCGATCAGACGAGAATTTGTTGTAGTACTAGAAACGTACACCCAATTGAACAAAAAAAAAACATCTTAAATTCAAAATGTACAATATAAAACTTTCATACAGAGGTTGCATGTATATGTTTTAAAACGCCTCCTTGGTATGTTTGACTAGTTCTGAATCAATGAGTTGTTTTTACATTTTTTTCATGAAAACTTGTATCATTTTGTACTCCAATGACTACTAGGACTGCTAATAATTAATCCAATATCGATAGATCATCGATTTAACATTCGTCGATACGATATCAAAGTAGTAATAAAATCTTCAATAAAGATTCGTTTCTTAAAAAAGGTATTCATAAAAAATAGAAACCTACTGCAAGCAATAGTGTATGTTACCCCGAACTGGTCTTCCTCCGTTCTTATGGCAACAGCGGCCATTGTGAATGTATCATTTACGATTACACTTGAAAATCATTATTGCTATGAAATGTTGTTAAGATTGGTAAGCAGGAAATGCGGACAAACCTAAGGGGAACGCTAACAAAATGTTCCCATTGAATTCGCTTGGGGGGGGGGGGGGGGTTGACATAAATATGAATAATCAACCTAAGCTTTAACAAGACAGGTACTATGAGTGAGTTGACATTATTATGCCCCCTCGCTGCAATATTTTTTTTTTAATTTTCCTTATTCAATTTTCTAAAAATGACCTAGAACTTACCAAAATCACCTTGGTGTTTTAAGGAGAGGTCCTAAGTAATCTTTGAGTGAAATATGAACATCCGATGTTTCTCTATCAGATATTATGGACCTGACAGGAATATTACACTTTTCTACTGGTGACCTTGATCATGGCAATGACCTTGGGTCAAGGTTATGATATACCTCCAGTTATCTTTGTAATTTTAAATTCCCATTCTTATTCATGAAAGAGTTATGAACTGGACACATTTTTTTTACTCTTTTTCTGCCAGGGACTTGAACTTGCTGGAATGACGATGGTCAAGGTCAGAACACACCTTCAAGATAATATTTTTGTGAAATATGAACTTCCAATGTTTTCCCATTAGATACAGACCGGACACGAATTTAAAACTTTTTTCCGTCATTAACCATATCCCTGCTAAAATTGCCATGGATCAAGATCATGACACACCTTAAATCATTTAAAAAATCTCATTTCAAATTAGCCTCTATTAGAGAATTATGGACTGGACACAAAAAATACATCTGCCAATGACCTTGAACTTGCAGGAATGAGCTTGGGCCAAGGTCAGTACTTACCCTAAGGTCATTAGAAATCCTTGCGACAAATGTTCATTACAATACATGGTCAGATCAGGAATTATATATTTTTGTAAAAATAACCTTGAACTTGATCAGATGACCTTGGGTAAAGATCAGGCTCCGGGGCCATGAAACTAAGACGAGCTAACTTTTGATCTTAGTCTCACTTTTACAAAAGGAATATATAATGGAAAAGTGAGACTGAGATCAAAAGTAAGCTCGTCTCATTTTTAAAGCCCCGGAGCCAGGTAGGCAATCTCTGTATGAGGTATGAACTTCTAATGGAATTATTTGAACTTGATAAAAATATATTTTGTCTGTTGTTAAATAAATACCATATACTAAAATTCTCGATAATTCAAGCCCTCAAATGAACATTTTTAAATGGAATATTGTCCTGCTTAATCCACTGGTTGCTTATGTTAATTATCTGTATTCTATGTTTATCTTTAAAAGAATACAAGTATGGGGAAAATCGTTTTATTACAAATATAAAAAAAAAACAATGGATAACAATTAAAAAGACATTGTCTTCGATCGGAAATGACCTGAAAAAGAGATGTAAAAATTAGAATTTATGATGTTTTAATGTAGTTCATATAACACTGCATAAGATTACCACCTAATAAATAATTTGCCATTTAATTTATTTCAAGAACTGAGAAATGAAGGACACTTATATGTGATTAGCAATAATAAACATTTCATTGCAAAAATAATTGCTATACTGAGTAATCTAGAGAACTTTTTGGTTATTTTGCGAAGTTGTTCTGGGACCACGAATGTAAACCTCCCCAGAATAACAGAATTAACGCCAATTATTTATTGGAAGAAAGCATAAAAATGATACCTCTCGAATAAAACGATGCTCATTTCTCGCGAAGATAAATTCGAACGAAGTCTAAATAATTAAGCGTATACCGAAATCTTTAAAAGTAAATACTAATCATAAATCGGAACACAGCGAAGATCTTGACTTTTATGAAAAGTGAGATTAGCTGTTAATGCACCAATTTTTTTCGACTTAAATCAGCTGTTTATGAGTATAACACAATGCCTCAATCATTAAGTCTATAATCTTTGTAAATATTGATTTTCATGATACTTTACCTACCTAATTTTGGTCAACGTCGCTTTGAAAACTGACTAGCCCATCCGCCTGTAGATCGGGATCGAGGTCCAAATCTACTGAACTGTCTAAATCGATTGAATCTGAAATCTGCAACCGATAAATTTTTATTAGCACCCTTCCATATATATAATCCATGTGAATTTTTGCTAATAAAGTCTTTAGAAAACAAATATTAAAGGCTATGATTTATACAACAGTTTTAGTATTTTCAAATCGACGGTCACTTACTCCGGAATCTTGATCGAGATGATGGATTATAGTATGACCTCCACGCCGTATTTCCTGAAAAACACACAAAGTGGATCAGTGGAAATTTGAGTGACACATTTTTTCAGAAACTATTGATATAGTAACATCTTCCAGATAAGATAAAAAAAAATGAAAGACAATTCACCATTCTTTCGATTGAAATTACCTTCACAGATCATGGTCATTCCGGAGAGCAGGACTAGTGCCAGCAGCACAAGCACGTATTTGTTCATCATCAAGGAGTGGAATTACTGTTCAATAGTATATAACGATTCATAAAGACCTCATATATTTAAACTATTCTTAAGGACATACGCAACGTACTTTGAACTTTATTGTCTTTTTCCCTGGAGTTGAAGAGTTCCAATACTTAAAGGAGCTGTGTGCTATATTTTAATGTTTATGTATGCTGTTGTACACATCTTTTACAACAAGTTTGGATAAACAAAACATCTAGAATGTTTATTTAGTAATTTTTGTATATTTTTCTTTGAATTATACAAAAATTTCCATCAATTAATATCTTTTCAAAACACCTGGTAATGCTTGTTGATTTTTTGTCTATGAACATCTGATGGAACTATAATCTTAAATTAAGAATATCTTGAAAAATTATTAGTAGGTAAGGTACGTTGCGTTTGTCCTTAAGGTCAGATAACACGTTCCTCAATGATATATAAATTTTCCCAAGAATTTGTAATTGGAGTATTGCTACTTTAACAAGTTTCCTCGCCAAAAAAAGAGGTTCCTTACCAGGCATTTGTGCAAGATACCAAAGGATGGTGTTTCCTATATAATTCTATTTGAAATCACTTGAATATCCTATATCACAATATTTGCTGGATTTATTTTCTAAGACATTTTAAAAACAGTTTAGAAATCACAAGACGATGTTAATATTATGAATGTTTTTTTTTATATTACAAAGAGAAACAAAACAGATATTTGGGGAACGTGTCGTCAGGTGTATAACTTTAACATCAATATATTATTATCCATCAGGATAAAGTAAAATATTCAATAACTATGGTAACTGTACATAGAACAAGTACGAAAATGAACATTATGATAGACAAATGAACTCAATATTTGTTGACTGGAAAAAAAATACTAGCAGTGTAAATAGACGGATTAAAATCTGATTATTATGAACGGATTTGTTTTTTTTAATAAATGTTTTCTTGAACAAGTCGTCTTACCTGGATTGCTGTTGATTGTTCAATTTATTTAGGCGTTTTATATAAATATTGGAACTCAAAACTATTTGATCACGTCACAACTGTTGACAACTGTTAATTGATGCATTAATTAAATATTCTATAAGGCTTCCGGGTTTTGTTTGGTTCCATGCACTAGACAATGGCCATTCTAAGAGAAAAGATTTGTAGTATTTATCAATTAACCCACATGTCAAAATTTCGTACCGAAAAATAGGGTCATCTAAGTTAAAACAGGACATTTTCAGCAAAAATTATTAAAAATGTAGTTCCCAAAATATTTCTGAATATTTTTAATAAAAAAAAATCTACTGCGCCTTTATAACATTTTCATATCTTCAAGTTGGAAATTTTATTACGTGGTTTGAGTGGCAATAATAACACGTAGTTTTTTGTTTTGTTTTTGTTTTGTTTTTTTTTTTTTTTTTTTTTTTTTTTTACATTTAGTGATTTTTAGATTCTGATTAATTTTTTTTTTACATAAAAAATCTTTTGCATTTTATTGCAAATGTCTCCTGAAACTACGGAAGCCCTGGAGACGGAGTCTACGTGTAGTTTTAGAAAAGTTGAAAGTAATATTTTGCCTTTGAATTTATTACTAACGACAAGATAAAATAGTAATTATGTTCATGTGTTCAATCATAATGCAAACTGGAAGTTACAAATAAGAATTAAGTAACAACTATTAAGTAACAAGAAATGACAAATAAGAATTAACAAATTAAAATTAAGCTATAACAACAAAGTTACAAGTGTAGGAATTTAGGCTGGACTGAGAACATCGGCCTGGATAGCTCAGTGGTTAGAGGACCTGACTAGTAATGCAGGGGTCCCGGGTTCCATTCCCGGTCCAGCCATATGTTTTTCATTATATATATACTAGATTTTGACCCGTGCGTGCACGAGTTGACATTGTTATGAATGCATCCATGTGCATATAGGACATTTACAAAATAGATACATCGACACATTCATATTGTAAGGTATTTTTGAAATAAACAATGAATGTTAATATAATTCTGGTTTTTTTTTGTGTTTGTTTGGTTTTGTTTTTGTTTTTTTTTAAATTGTTGCGTAACGGCGTAGCGCAGAATGGGTTTGACCACCAGTTAGCTATAAATCAAGTCTTGAGTTCGAATCACGCCGGAGCTTACATAAATTTCACCTTTCCAAACAAATTTAATAAAAGAAATTATGGATCGATGTTCATTGAAAATATGACAACAGCAAAGAGTTGAGCACACTGCTGATACAATATCAAGCAAAGTAATGAAAATGAAGAATTGTGCTAAGCTGGTATTTTTACACAATCAGTTATTGAAGAAAAGGTGTAAAAAATTTTGTAACAATTTTAACACTGCAGGTCTCAACTTTTTCAAAATATGACCTCAACAATAAAAGAGTTAAGCACTGCTAATACATATACTTTATATATACACAGGTAATAGACAGGTATATAATCTGTAAAAGACTATCTGTTTTGATAAAAATTAATGTAATATCCTTGAATTAGTACATAGAAAAAGTAATAAAAATAGAAGCTTAACTGAGAAAAAATAAAAACAAATTGGTAATCTACAAGTACCAATGATGTTTAAAATACATAAAACAAAAGACAGTGTTCTTCCGATTTATCGGTATTAAAGGCCAAAAATTCGAGTCTATAATTTTTATATAGTAGTTATTGTAATTTTTGGCTGAAAAAGAATGCCTACTTCATTAAGACGTGATTCTAACTGGAGTTGTAACACCCCCCTTCAGTTCCCCTCAAAAAAGCATAAAAGAAAGGAGGGATAAAATAAATCGGGTAGTTACATTAATGTTGCTCCTACGATCATGAGCTTTTTGCCTCCGTTGAGATGGCCAGAGATATAAATAACATATAATAAATGTGTCTCCGAGATGGCGAATGATTACCCACGTGGCCACAATATCACATTTGTATGGATATAAACTCAGAAACGATTACGATAATACAAACATATAGACGTCAGAAGCAAATTGAAAGTGGGGTGGCTATTTGATAGGGGGGGGGGGGGGGCTAAACCAACGAAAAAAGGTAAGCCCTAGTTTTCAATGCCTATATTATGCCTATCTTTGCCAAAAAAAAGTGGGGGGGGCTAAGCCCCCCCCAGCCCCCCCCCCCCCCGTTCCGACGCCTATCATGGGGCGGATACAGGATTTGTGATTACGGGGGGCGTGGATAACTTTGTTCAGGCAGGGGGTCTGGGGGCCGCCTTAAGGCCCCCAGTGAGTCCAGGGCGAAGCCCTGGTGGGGGCCTAGGGGGCGAAGCCCCCGGAAGCTCCTGGGTTTTCGTGTATTTTAAGAGTAAAACCAGGCACAATAATAGGGATATTGGTTAGTTTATATGTACCAAAGTTTGGCATTATTAATACATAGTCATATCATACTTTGAATAGAGGGGGCCCAGGGGTCGAAGCCCCCGGAAGCTCCTGGGTTTTCGTGTATTTTAAGAGTAAAACCAGGCACAAAAATAGCGGTATTGGTTTGTTATATACCAAAGTATGGCATTATTGATATTAGTCATATCATACTTTGAAAATTTTAGGGGGGAGGGGGCGTGCGCCCCCCACGCCCCCCCCCCCTTAAATCCGCCAGTGCCTATGACAAATACGTATAAATTTTCATTGGAAATTTGCTATATATTCTGTTCATATACATTAATGATTTCTTATTAGAGAAATTATACAATAACAAATATATATCTACTTAGTATATACTTTTGTCTTCTCTGATTTGAACACACTCTAGACCAACGGCTCATACATTCGTGTATAAGAGAGAAACGAACGACAACTCTGCAAGGGAGATTGATTTGAACACCGTGATTTAGCGTGAATGTAATGCGCAAGATTGTAAAATCCAAAAAATCCAGATGATTTCCGGAATTTTTTGAGGAATTTTCGTTGATTATTAATTAGCGAAGCTTAATTGAGAAAAAATAAAAACAAATTGGTAATCTTCAAGTACCAATGATGTTTAAAATATATCAAATAAAAGACGGTACTCTTCCGATTTATCGGTATTAATTAAAGGCCAAAAATTCGAGTCTATTATTTTAATATAGTAGTATAGATTTATGAATTTTCAATGTATATTAACTAATTCCTCCTTTCCATACTACACAAGATATTAACAGATAAGAATTTAGAAGTCAAAACGGTACTGGTATGTTAAACTACAATTAATCAATCAAAAACCACTAGGACTAAAACACATCATTTTAATACTAAAGGTAAGCCAAGCTACACGTTCTCCATAGCTACATTATACTTAGTTATAACCAGCAACAAAAAAGTCATAACAAATAAGTTACAACTGATAAGTTATAACAAATAAGTCATAACAAGTAAGTCAATGTCCCTCCAGGGGTATTTTCTGTGATTAGAAATGTTTGCGATCTGACCTCTGCATGAAAGGTGGCAAAATAATTTCTGCGTTTTCAATTTATGCGGTTGCATTATACCTCCAAATTTTATTTACGGAGTATGAATACCATATTATAAGGATTTGGCAGAATGCTGTCATGTTTACCTTTTAGAAATTTAAAAACATGTTGATCAAAGGTGCATGAGAACTGGCACTAAGCTTTTTTATCTTTGAGTCTTCGAAAACTATTTTCAAATCCTTTTTATTTCATACATCCGTAAGCATAATTATTTTTTAAGAATATAGAGTAAGAACTTAGAAAATAACATTAAACCAGGTTGACTGACATACGCACCACTTATCAGTCTTGCACGTATAAAATATCTGAAATATCGAAGAAATATTTTGCGATTGTAATTTTATATTTGTCCTATTCGCAAAAAAAAAGAAAAAAAAAAAAAGAAAAAAAGGAATGGACAACAGCAGAAAACATCCATTTTACGGTATATATGTAATCAACCCAACTTTATTAAAAACTTTTTAGTGTGGTGTTTGGATTTCGTTTTTTATAGCATTTTTGGTAAAAATGCACTCTCATTTACAAAAAGTCTCCCGTTGACTTTTAATTTCATTATTTC